AAAAAAAAAAAAAAAAAGAAAGAAAAGAAAGGCAGGCTGGCCCCAAACTCTTGAATCAAGGATCCTCCTGCCTCAGCCTCCCGAGCAGTGGGGACTAAAGTGTTCCCCTCACACCTGGTTTATTCTTTACCTTACTTGAAGCTATCCATTGATTTATGTGATTGAGTTTTCTTTTAGTTGTAGATGGACACAGTACCTTTATTTATTTTTATGTTGTGCTGAGAATTGAACCCAGTGCCTCATACATGAGAGGCAAGCGCTTTGCCACTGAGCCACAATCCCAGTCCTGATTGTCTATTGTATAAAACCTTTAGAAATTTGCTGGGTGCGGTGGTGCATGCCCATAATCCCAGTGGCTTGGGAGGGTGAGACAGGAAGATCACGCGTTCAAAGCCAGTCTCTACATTTTTTTTTTTTTTTATATAGGGATAGGGATAGGGTCTGGAGTTGTAGCTCAGTAGTAGAGTGGTTGCCTAGCATGCATGAGGCACTGAGTTCAATCCTCAGCACCACATAAATATATTGTGTCCACCTAAAACTAAATTTTAAAAAAGAGGGGGCTGGGGGCTGGGGATGTGGCTCAAGCCGTTAGCACGCTCGCCTGGCATGCATGCGGCCTGGGTTCGATCCTCAGCACCACATACAAAGATGTTGTGTCCACTAAGAACTAAAATAAACATTATAAAAATTCTCTTTCTTTAAAAAAAACAGTTTAAAAAAAAAATAGAGAGCTGGGGATGTGGTTCAGTGGTTAAGCACTGAACAAAATCCCTGAACAAAAAAAGATGTCATTTATCCTAAGGTTGGTTTGAGAGTAAGAGAAAGTGATGATGAAGGTTAAAAAAAGATACTCAAGTTACTTGCCCACTTACTAAGACACTGTATGTTGCCAAGTAACGTCTCTTGATGTAGAAAAACATGTCATTCTGTGTTGACATGCAAGCAGATGTGTTAGGAATAAGGTTCTAAAACCTGATGTGTTTGTGAGTTTGCATCACTCTGGGCTTGACCTTATAGGTTTGGTTTTGTCGTCGTTCTCTGGGTTTTTTATATCCATGGTTAACAGCTTGCAGGTAGGGAAAATACTGAGGTGAGGGGGCCACCATCAGACTGCCAGAAACCCGGCCTACATCACCTGCCATGAAACTGATCCATCCAGCAGCCCAGCCCTTTTGACATCCGAACAGGGCTCTCCATGCCTCCCAGTGGTGCGTCAGGGACGCTACCCACCACCTCCCCTGAGCAGTAGTCTCTTCAGTGAGAGCCAAGAAACCAGGGTAGATTGGAAGGCAGACCTAGAGCCACAGCCAGGAAGAGAAGAAGCTGACCTCTCCTCTTCACCTTTGTCACGTGCTTGGAGAAGGTGCAGAGGAGCCACCCACCACAGCTCACGCCCACCAGTCGGATCTTGCCTCCCACCTGCAAAACTCCCTCCCTTTTCCTGGGTCTACCCCTCAGCAAAGCAAACCCTCACCACAGGGGTCAGTGCTGAGGTTGCACAGCAGAAATGAACTGAGCCCCTGTGGGAAGCACTGCTGGAAAGCACCACATGGAGTCATTCCTCTCAGCTCCAGAGCAGACCCTTCCTCCAGCGCACACCCAAGTCACCACCGCGTGGAATGAGAAATAGCCTCTGTGGCTCCTAACACCCTGGCGGAAAGGGCAGTTCACGGCTGCCGCAGGTTTCCTAGTATACACTTAACTACAGCTTAAATAAACCCATCCTGCAACTCTGCATCTTCCCTACCTAAGCTAAAGGAAACACGTCCTTTCTCCACCCAGCTGAACTATGTCAGAAAATGTCCTTTGACAGGTCACCTCCAATCTTTCACAAAGGCTGAACTGCTTTAATTGCACTTAGAAATTCAAGGAATATACATCTCAATACACATTGTTAATGAAAATAAGCTTTATTACATCAAGTAATAAATACATACAAAGATGCAAACAGTTTTAGTCATTTTCTTCCAGATGTTTTGATCAACTTACAGTAAACACAAACTGAAATCTATGTACAGTCTTAGTATGAAAATTTTCGGGGTCCTTATTAGATTTGGTAGGTTGCTCTTTCTTCTGTATTTATAACTTGTGCACTCTTAAAATTGACTTCAAAGCACTAAGAGTCATGCAAATGCTTAAGCAAAAAAGAAGTGCCAGTAAGCAGAATCTACACTGTATGGCACATGGGACCAGCTAAGTGAAGCAGGTGGTCAGGATGCATTAAAACAAAGTCCTTGGGATCAAATGAGCTTATGAAAAGGTACAAATAACAATTTGGGTAACATAAAGTATTCAAAAGATTAAAGGGAGACACTGGTATCTTGGAGCCAAACAACAGTTTGCTGTAAAATAACTTCACATGCATCTTAAAAAACAAAAACAACTGGGTTGTTCCTAACTACTTAAAATGCAAATCCTAATTAACTTCGAAATCTTTTCCCAATATTTTGAGACTGTGAACCTTGGGAGAAAAAAACTAAACTGTTACCATTTTGAAAATGAGTATTTCATCTGAACAGGGGAGATGAGCTGTAGAGAGCCAGGAACCCCCAAGCTGGCGGGGAGGCTAGGACCTGGCATTCCGTTCCGTTTCAGCCAAGCACTCCCGAACCAGTCCTCGTGCGTGAATGATGCCTGAAAGAGAAGCCGAGGTCTGGAATCAACCCAATCAGCACCCTTTCCAGAACAGGAGGATCCATCATAAAACCCTCAGATTGTCACAAGTTTGAGGCCAGCCTCAGCATATTAGCAAGACCCTGTCTCAAAAAATAAAGGCTGAGGGGGGTTAGGGTTGTGGCTCAGTGGTAGAACACTTGCCTGGCACGTGAGGCCCTGGGTTCAAATCTCAGCACCGCGTGTAAATAAATAAAATAAAGGTCCATCAACAACTAAAAATTAAAAAAAAAAAAAAAACAAGAGGCTGAGGATGTAGCTCAGTGGTGAAGCACCCCTGGGTTCAATCCCTGGTAAACCCCCCACCCCCCCAGAAAAATTCCTCAGATTGTGCCCAGTATGTTGGCTCACACCTATAATCCTAGATGCTTGGAAAGCTAGAGCAGGAAGACCAGAAGTTCAAGTTCAAGGCCAGCCTTGACAACTTAGTGAGACTCTGCCTCAAAATAAAAAGAAAAAAAGGGCTGGGATAGCTCAAAGGTTAGAAGATATTCCTAACGAGTGCAGCCCTGGGTTTGCCAGCACTGTAAAAACTAAAAATAAGGGGTTGGGGATATAGCTCAATTGGTAGAATGCTTGCCTCACATGCACAAGGCCCTAGGTTCAATCCCCATCACCACAAATAAATAAATAAATAAATAAGAAATAAAAATAATACCTCAGACTAGAAGGGAACCTGGGAACTACATGCAAAAAACTCAAAGCTGGGGGTAGAGGTGCACACCTATGGTATCTGCTGTTAGAGGGTGGTGCAGGAGGATCACTTGGGCCCAGAGATCAAGACCACCTTGGGTAACATTGAGGACCATTGCCTCCAATAGAAAACCCAAATATATGAGCTGTTAAGGGACATTAACAGTCCCATCTCTCAAAGCTCCTTGCTCCTAGGCAAAAAAACCTCTTTGTACTGCCAAAATCTCTCCTGCACTCAGAGTGGCACCAGCAAGCTATCCTTTTCAACATTCTGTTGGAGGGTGGGAGAAAAAAATGCAAAAGTTCTTTTACATTGGACACAATGTAGCTTCTTCAAATTCAATGGACACAACGTGGCTTCTTCAAATTCTAAATCCTAGAAAGGGATGAGCCAGCCTCAAGTAGGTAAGAGGAAACCCCCAGCCCACATGCCTCAGGTACAAGAGGACACTGCTCACTTATGGAACTGCTGGTGCACTTTGACATCCTTCCCCCAGGAACTTTAGCTGCCCTGTGCCCATGAAGCTCCCCAACTTTTTCTCTGTGGTTTGGTGGCTAACTTTTTCTTTCTGCCCCTACTGAGCTTCATAAAATATTAATCTCATTTAAACAGACACCAAAAATTCTATTCTAGTATATGACTATGAGGCCACTATGATCACCTCTCCAAATCACCAGCAGCTAAAACAAGGAGTCCACACCCAGTATTCTTACAATCTGCCTCAGAGGTTCAGAAAACTTTCTCAAATCATCAGACAGCATTTATTACAGGGTTTCATGGTCTGTCACTGCTTCTCTACTCGGCTAGCATATAGTGAAAGCAGTCAGGCGTAATGAACAAACCATGAGTGTAGCCAGTCCAAATCAATCTGTATTTATGAACACTGAAGTCTCAATTTCATATGTCTCCAAATCACTTTTTTTTTTTTTTTGCCACCAATAAAAACTATAAAAACCTTTCTCAGTTCATGGGCTATAGTTTACCTGTCTATCAACAATGCTTTCTGCTGGGTACAGTGGCAGATGCTTATAGTCCTAGCCACTCGAGAGGCTGAGACAGAAGAGTCACAAATCCTAGGCCAGTCTGGGGAACTCAGGGAAAACCTCTCTCAAAAAAATAATAAACTGCTGAGGATGTAGCTCAGTGAACAGCCAACTTCTCTAACTAGAAATCCTCCTCTCCCTGCATGCATCTGATGTCATGAGGCAGCAAGTTACTTCACATCTTCCTCCCGAGTTATTGTGACAGCACCCTCTTGACCTTCCTCTCGCCTCCATCACTAAAGAACCTGAGGGTGCCCCACATTGAAAACAGGCTGCCCCCTTCCTTGGTCCTGTGCCAAAGATGTGACAGCAGAGGGCAGCATGGACAACTAGAAGCCCTAAACCCAGGCCTTCCAGCAACCTCTGCACAACACTGCCCAGGAAAAGCCAGCTGCAGCTGGCTCCCTGCTGATATCACCTAAGGGGATAGAGCAGGCAGGGAACATGGCCTCCGGGTCTGGAGTCTGGAGCCGCAGGGCCTCTCATGCAGCATGCCACAGTGATAGTGCACTACAAACTCCACCTGAAACACCCAGCCATCACCGGCCCTGCCCCCACCCCACTGCACGGCAGCAAAGCAGACCGTGGAGCAGGAGACCCTTTTCTACCTCTAGCATTTTCCCGAGAAAACCTTTCAGTTTTTTTATTGAGATGGATCACACTATGTTGCCCCAACTGGCATCAAATTCCTGGGGGCTCATGTGATCCTCTGGCCTTGACCACCCAAGAAGCTGGGACTCTGAGCATGTGCCATCATGACCAGCTTTTAAAAAATCTTTCAAAATAGTGACTGGATCAGCCTGTAGGTCCCCCAGGACCTCTGCTCACCTCGTTTTAGTCTCTCCATGGCGCTCTTGCTCCCTGCATAGGTGGGTCTTATCTCCTTCCCCAGCTCTTCGATGATGGCCAGCAGTTCTGCATACTTGCTCTGGGGCACCTGGCTATTTCCAGTTCCCTAGAATCACAAGGATGGGGTTTCAAATGCATTGAACCTGACCCCAATGCCATGGTTAGGCCCCGACCACAAACAGGCACAGCCCAGGGCAGGATCAGAGCAGGGAAAGCCTGGGGTGGGCTCCCAGGTCTGTGGGGACAACACCAGAGAAGACTGACCCCCAAGAGCCCAGAAAGCTCCTTTCCCCCCAAAGGAAAATAAAGAACTGTCTCCAGGAAACGAATTCACAGGGAGTTCCCTGGGACCATGAGGAGAGAGTCTCTGGGGGCTGAGTGTCCACAGCAATGGCAGATGGAAGCCACCCCAAGGTGAGGTGGAAATGGCAACTCCAAGACCCCAGCCGGGGCCAGGAGTATGTCAAATCACCCAGTCCTCCCCATAGGCAGGGCCCACCCGCCAGAAAGTCCCTTTCTCCAGACCACTGTGGCCAGCACTCCCGCAAGCACCCAGATCAGCGAGGCGCCAGGCTCAGGCCGCTCCTCCTCCTGGGCCTGCTCAGCCCTCGGTGGCACCAGGGCAGCCAGCTCTCTCTGCAAGGCCCTCGCCTGCTCCTCCCGCCTCTGCCGCCTCTGCTCCCTGGCCTCGCCAGCGGGCCTCGAGGCCCAGCCTGGCCGCCCGGCCTCCTGGCACAGCTGGCGCTTCTCCCGGCGCCGGCGCAGCATGGCCAGAGCGTTGCGCTGCCGCTCCAGGCTGCGCCGCAGCCCGTCCTCCCGCCGTCGCCGCTTCTTCAGGCGGTCCCTCTCCCGGGCCCGGGCCTGCTTCTCCTCCTGGGACAAGACAGCCTGCCGGGGCATGGCTGGGGAGCCACACTCAGTGACAGAGAGGCCACCTCAACCCCGGCACAGGCTCCATGGCAACCCCGGAACTCGGCCTGGGGTCTGGCCCAAGAGAGAATCTTCAGCTGGTGACCAGGGCTTCGAGAGGACTGGGAACCTCCCTGGGTACCATATCTGCCGAGTTGTGGCTAAAGTGGTGGCTCCCTCCTTCCCTGAGGACCCCGAGTCTCCTGGAGGTTTCCAAGGGGGGCTGCAGTCCCTTAAGTGCAGAACCACTCACTTGGGGACCACACTGGTAACTGCCAGCTCCTGATGAGGAGGCCTTACCTCTGACCCAGCCTACAGTCCAGAGTCGGTCAGGCCTTACTTGCCAGGAAACGGGAAAAGAAGGAGCCACCAGAGATGTGGGGTGCTGGCCCTGGCAGAACTGCATCTCAGAGGCTGCGGGACCTTCCCTGTGCTTGCCCCTCCTCAAACCTCAGTGTCCCCTATCACTCAGTCCTGGCTACCTCTCCATCCTGCCGCTTCAAGTCCTAACCATGACCCAACAGGGCTGGATGAGGTTTCGAGGAGACTGCCTCAGTCTGTGAGCACATCTCCCCAGAGCCCCAGGCCCTCCCACCTTGCAGGCGCCCACACTGCCCTACCTGGGTGTAGCCCAGCGATGGTGGCCCATAGTCACTCAGCAGCTGGCGGTACTGGGAGGATGCTGCCATGCTGGTGGAAGGCGAGTGGACACTTCCAGCTGTAAGGGAGGAGAGAAGGATAAGAACCTTGCAGCCTTAGCTAACTGCACCCTAGGCAAGGACACTGGGATCCACGTCACCATCTGTGATCTTTGCTCTTCACAGGGCAGAGAACTCTGCTCTTGACCTCCAAAGGCCACGTTCCTGACATGCAGCCTTGATAACTGGCCCTTCCCGGCCACGCAAGCCTTCCACACAAGAGGGGACTGGCACCAAAGACAAAATCTACCCTTCTCAGTCTAATCCTTACTATCTGTCCCTGCATCCTGCACACTAGAGGCTGGTGACCCAGAGCCATGTCCCTGCTACAAAGTCCCCCAGGACCAAGATCTCATACATATGGAAGCCCCTGTTCTTGTGTGCTTGGTCTCTGCACACAATATGTAACAGAGACTGAAGACCAGAAGGTCTCGAAGGAACTGAGCCCAGCCCCAGTTGTCAATAGGTACCCTGCACACCAGAACAGCACTCTTAACATCACAGCCTGTGTGCCTCAGACAGGCCTCTCAACCACTCTGAGCCAATGTCATTCCTCCCCCAAAAAGGGACAGGATTGATGACAGTCTATGCCCCAGAGGGCTCTGCACCCTGAGAGGGGAGGGCTAGGCCCCACCCATGGAATGGGGCACACTGTCTGTAGCCAGCAGTTGGGGACCAAGTACAGTCCAGAGCCCAGCTAAAAGAATGTCAGCTCCTGGATGTAAGTTGGGGGCGGAGGGGGGGGGCAGTGGCAGGAACATGCAGACCCATAATGGCGTCCGAGTGGCCATTAGCGGGTAAAGGATGTCCTGCAGAATTACAAACAGCGGTAACCATGGAGAATTTACCTAGTCCTCTTCAGCAGCTGCCTGCCTGTCGCCCCCAGAGCCAAACGGTGTCTCACATACAGCGGGCTCCACGGACTTGGCCCCAGGGATGGACAGCTGGTGCTAGGCCAGCCAACAGACCAGCTGCTCATTTGGTATGGGTGAAGGGAGGGGCAGGAGGAAGTTCAGGAGCCCCAGGCTGCTGGAGCTGGGAGGGGCCCTGAGAACCCTGGATCCAAGCCCCAACTGCAGAGAGGCTCAGAGCCACAGAAGAGGTTGAGCAACAAGCCAGAGCCCTACAATCCCTCTGCCCAGAAGCTGGGGAGAGCAGCTGAGGTGTCTTCCTAGGGGTCTGACCTGCACGGTTTCCCCCCTGGGACCCAGGTTTGTGCTCCAATGTGGATCCAGACCCTGAGCTGGACTGAGCACTGTCCACTCCAAGCCCAGGCTCTACGCCCCTCAGTGGGGATGATTAGACACCTGTGCTATGGGGACATGCTGCACAGGATGGGGATGCAGACAAGCATACCTATGACCCCCATCCACAGAAACCATGGCCATACAGCCACCAACACACAGGCAGGGTGGCAACCTCCTGCTCCCTGACCATAACAGCCAGACCCCAGTATCCAGAGCCTTCGGATGTGGCCTGCGTGTGGTCTGGGGGTACAGGCTCCACAGTCCGAGGCTTGGGTCCCAATCCTGACTGCTGCAGGCTATCACATCACTCTGGACTCAGAAAGGCAGAGGAGCTGTGACAGGCTGGCATGCCACTGTACAGCACTTGGAGGTGGTTAGAAGACTCCAGCGCCCGGTAGGAGGTGGGCTGGCCACATCCTTGAAGCCCTGGACCACCTTTTTCCCTGTTCCTTGGAGCTCTTTTCACTGTTTCTCACCTCCCCTGGACCCTTCTTCCCTCCTGGACTAGGGTCCCATTGCACCTGTACCACCCCTGGCTGTGTGGTCCTCAACAAGGTGCTTTCCTCTCTGGGTCTCAGTTTCTCCATCTGTCAGAGGCAATGCTCCCCAATAGAAGGTCTAGAATCTACAGTTTGATGAAGTTAGGTTTGGAGGTTTGGGCATGGGGAGAAGAGAAATAAGTCGCCTCACTGCAATTGTAGGAGTTGAGCAATAGCTCCAAGACTGGCATTCCCGTCACCCAGGTGCAGTGGCAGAGGACCCTGGTTCACCAGGGCCAGACCCTTATTCAGTGTTGGGGGTATGCCCCGTCCCAGGGAGAGTTGGTGGAAGGGCCCTTAGTGCCGCTCACGCCCACTCCTTCCTGCAGACACAGGGACCTGGCCAGGGGAGGCCACCGAGAGGCAGCTCCACGTCAGCACAAGCCCGTAGAGCAGCGCATCTCAGACAATGAGCACAGTGTACAGGGAGCCGGGAGGGCTTGGCAGAGGCCAGGAAGCTCCTGGGGCCAGGCGCAGCTCCCCGCCCCCACGCCAGACAAAGAGCAGCCTGGGCCTGGGGAGCTGGCGGCCTTCCCGCCACTTGGGGCGCCTGGGGGGGCTCTCCGGCGGGGGAGGCAGGGGCTTTGTCTAACTCCGCCACTGCCACCACCGGCCAGGCCGCAGCTTGGCAACCCATGAGCAGGAGGCAGGGCTGGAGGGCGTGAGGAATGATGACAGGGAAGCCGCAGGAGCGGCAGTGAGAGTCCATCTTGGATGCAGATGGCAGGGGACAGTGGGCTTTCTGCAAACGGGTCCCCCAGGAGGTGGGTGGCCTCCTACTAAAACCCCAGACAGGTGGGGACCTCTGTATTCTTCCTGGCACTCCTCCACAGGAGAAAGAAAAAAAGGTGCATACAGGTACTAGCCACCCAGAACAGAGAGGCTTCGGGACCCCAGTGGACACCTCTGTCATTATGACCCTAGGCCCTAAAGGTCCCAGTTAGGGCCTTCGCTCCAAGTATCCCACAACAGGCCCAAGATCTCTAGCCCTGTCCAGGCTGGCAGTGCCACCCACCCGGACACAGACAGAGAAGGCTACAGGAAATCCTACCTGGCAACAAAGCCTGTCTTTGTAAGGTCTACGGACCCCAGGCGGGTGACAGAGACCAAATTGTGGCTGCCTGTTCTAAGGGTGCTCAGCTCACATGTGAGCAATTCAACTCTCCCTCACTAGCACCCCGAATCTTAACCCTTTCCAAACCCCAAATGTCAGCCCCTGAGTAGTTTAAAAAAAAAAAAAAAACTCGCTTTTTGGGTCTTTCTTGGGAATTTTAGAGTGCTGGAATCAATGATTGCAGGCAAGGCCCTGAACTTGAAGCCAGCCGCCAGCGTGGCATTTTTGACCAGCCTGGCAAGTCCCCTAGCTCCTCCAGACCCTTTGCCCTCTCCACATGCCCCACCCCCAACGCACCTCGCTTTTTAAGTTCATTCTCAGCCAAGTGCCTCAGGAGAAGGGGCCCTGGAGAGGGCCCCAAAGCCGGTCACCCCTGAAGGCCACGGTTTCACACCCCTCCCCAAGGCTCCCTCAGTGCTTGGGGCCAATCCCTGGGTACAGCCTAGAGCTGCCTGACAACTTCTGGAGGAGTTTCCCAGAGCGCTCAACGCCAGCCCGGGTGGGAGAGGAGCCCCTCGACCTTTTGCAGAGTGGCCCTGGGGGCGCAGACGCGGCGGC